GGTGATTCTAGGTTATTTGACGATGGAAAAACAGATTAACTTCTAATTTTTACGAATGACTTGTTTGTGTAATGAATCGATGAAACATTGTTTAATGTGCTTTCTCAATATTTTTTTAATATCATATTAAGAAACTTTCTTCAATGCTGGAATCCCTAAATTTTTATTAATATCCATTATTGTGTAATGATACGTTTAGAATAATATGAATACCATACATCATCAATATGAATAACAAAGAAAATAATATTTACCTTTTATTGTTTTTGTTCTTGTTCGTTTTAATTATAAAAGCGCAATGAAATTGTAAAACCAGCGACACTTTATTTTAATCTCTTTATAGCACGATGTATGTCATAAGAATATTATAAAGTTTTACATGCATTTTAAAGTGACTGCTTTATTGTGCTTATATAGTTACATTGCAATCACTTCCATTACTAAACTACTATTCATTAAAAACATATCGGGCGATACAAGAATTTCAATGATAAATTCTGACTTTTTTTTTCCTTTTTCAATCAGATTAATAAATGCCGATGATAAAAGCTTTTACAAGGGAATAATGTTGTTCTCGGTGAATACTAAAATATGTGAAAATGTCTTACAGGCCAAAGTGTAAAGGAACAGTGCGAATAACGAAAACCTAACTCATACAAAACAGACCGCTCGAACAATTACAATGTCTCGTATCTTTGCTCATCGCTTTGCAATAATAAAACGTACGTAGCATTGAGCAATGATTCGTAATTATGTGATATTTATAAAGCAAGAAAACAATGAAAGGAAAAAAAAACAATAATGAACTTACTTCACAAATCATGTAAATTACGAGTGTTTAATTTTAAAAAATTTGTATTCTATCGTTTATCCTTAATACCTTCCACATTTAGCATTTTTTCAAAAAGAAAAAAGAAAAAAGAAAAAAAACTTATTAGCATGGGGAAAACTTATGAAAATAAATTTATTATAAAATTCAAAAGACATGAGAAATAAGAGGTAGAAAAGACTTGGACAAAACATTATAATTTGTAATTCGTGTGGTTCGTGCACCTATCAAAATTCACAATTTAAATTTTAAATTTGCATCACGAAACGAAATTCTTGACAGTATTACGATATACCGTGTGTATTATATTTCAAACTTCTTATCTAACAATACAATCGTCAGTTAAACCTTTTGTTTTTTTTTTTTTTTTTTTTTTTATTTATTGTTTTTTTTATTATATTCTATTTGGTTTTATAACATTTTAGCAATGTATATAAGCAATCTAACCTTAATATATTTTTTCAAATATAACTATTGATTTCGCTTAAATATATCGCTCTCGATCGATTGATAATATCATAATAATTATTGCAAACATACATAAATTCATGGTTTTATCAAAATTTAAATACATTCTTTTATTTGTATTTGGAAGCACAAGTATAACCGTAATGCATCCTATTTCGTACGATAATTTTTAAATTACACATCTTATAAATTATAGGTCAAGCGTACTTTACCCCCTCTGAATTTCTAATTCAAATAATATTAGAGTATAACATTCGACTATTTTACTTCACAATTACTTACGCATTAAACATTTGTGGAGAATAATTAATATCGTGAATCTATTTATTTCTCGACTATTCGCTCTATTTAATGTACTCTCTTTCTTTCTCTCTCTCTCTTCTCTCTACAAAACTCACGTTTAATGTGCAAGGCGAAGAAAGTGGGCGATTAGTTACAAACACATTATAATTAATATATTAATTATTGTTAATCGATATAAAAAGTCAATAAATATACTTTCCATTCTTGCAATTCTTGCAATTTTGCATTACTCAACGTGTACTTACACACACTCTGTCTATTATTTATTTCATTTTTTAATATTTTTCATTTGTTTGCTTATTGCTTCATTATGATATAATTCTTTTTTATCCATATAATACAAAACATAATCCTTCAACATTTCTTTCGAATATTAATTTTTCTTTTTATAGTAAATAATGTCGTTCGGAAGATTTCATCGTGTTAATAATATCATTTTACTTTATCGAAAATACATGAATGATTTTCATATTAAATTTATAACATCATTTAATAAAGTCTTTTAGTACACATACTAAACTAAAATTTTATAATTTTCAAGGATTATTTGTAACAACATTTTTGAAACTATCTTAACTTCAGTCACGCATACGCTTTATTTAAATTACAATTGCAATATATTATATTTGTCCTTATTTATTGTTATTGTTGTTTTTTTACTTCTCGTTAATGATTAATAAATCCTTGTACAATTGTTTCAAGTATTCTTTATATATATATATATATTGGTTTTTTTTTTATTTACGTTAGAATAAAAGTGGAATAAGCGAATGCAACGAGTGGTTCGAACTGCATTGAAAATGAGCAATTTGTTTTGATGTGCGCAATGATAAATATGCACTTTGATGAACACAAGACGCCATAATGAAAGCATTATACGACTGAACTAAATCCCAACGCGGAGTCCTCGCCGATGCTACGCTCATTACAACACATATATGTAACACGCTTGCGTGTCGTGTGCGCGTGTATGTGTGCGCGAGCGCAACGATCTCTCGATGCAGCATCTCGGACATTTGCAGGCTTCGGATAAAAAAATCTTTGCAAGACGGCCGAACAAGTGGCACATGCCAGCCAAGGCCGGTCCCTTTAAAAAAAAAAAAAAAGTCACGAATGCGTGGAGGAGCCAAGGAGCCAAGGAGCCGAGAAGCCGAGGAGCACCGAGCAGCCGAGCAGCCAGCGAAGCTCGCACTCGAGCACCTCTCGTACCTCTGCGACTCGGGCAACGAAAGAAAAGGTGGGAATCGGCATAATTGAGATAATGCCATTTTCCAGAAAGCATAATAACAATGATAAAGGAAAAATTTGCGCTTATTATGGGCCGCGCTATCGTCACGACGCGCCAAAGAGCCAAAGCGCCGAAGCGCCGAGTCACGAAGGCGAGCGCCTCTCCGACAATGAAAATTATACGTCGCTGATAGTCGGCATTTAAGTTCGGGGAAGGGAAAAAGTGAGGCATCGGGAGGCCGATTAGAGAATCGCTGGGACAGCAGCCAAGCTTCTATGACTTAATAACACGGCGACAATGAGCGTCGTCGGGGCAGTTGACTATCGCCGACTTCAGTGGTGCAGCCCTGCCTCGTTCGCTTATGCGCGCCTCACCAATCAACCG